CCTGCAGGGGTTCCCCCGTCTCCCTTTTGTTCAGTAGGGAGCGGGTTATCCTGAACAGGGCGGCTGGGCGGGACTCAGCGGATGCGACCAGGGTGGCTATGTGCGATCTTTTTGCTGCCCTAAGTGCCCTAGTATATTCCCTGGTGCAGGTGGTTACCATTGCTCGGTTCGATTCGGACTTATCGGACCTCCAACGGTGCTCTAGGCATCTCCTCCGGCGCTTCATCTCCCGGAGCTCCTCGGTAAACCAAGGGGGTCTCCGGGATCCGCCGCCGCGGAGGAGCCGCAGTGGCGCAATCCGGTCGAGGGCCTCTGACGCTGCCAAGTGCCACGCAGCAGCCAGAGTCTCTGCCGGACTGTGGGCGAAAGTGTCAGGAATAACCCCAAGCTCTGTCTGCTCACACACCTGCTTTTCAGTGCCACGATTTTATAAAGGAACGTACGATTAATATTGTTAGATATGTTTCGGCAATGATCAGAAACTGTCATAAAAAGCTCCTCAATATCTTGTTTCAAAACACTTTGTGTTTCATTAGCTGTATCTTCATGTTTTCTTAATGGTGACTTCTTCCCAGCACCATCATTTGCAATCCTGTTGTGTTGATATACTGAGGAAAGTGTCGGTGCTTTCATTAAGATGCTGCCTTTTGAAGTTAAAACATTCTTTCTCTCTTTTGTATTTTTAGCAGAGGAATGCCAAATAGGAAAGCTTTGAGAAGTCAATGGGAACAAAAACTTTCACTAAGTGTGACTCATTGCTATATGCCTAAGCATTGTCCATAATGCTATGAAGTCAGAATAATAGAACAACAAAAAAGAGTCTTTCCTGTTTTCTTATTATTGCTTGGGCATTTAATGTCCTTTGGATGCAACAATCCTTTGAAAGAAGTTAAATTTGATACACTTCTTACTTTTGTGTTTAAGTGTCTTCAAAATCATTTCCATCTGTCATTTACCATATGTAGCTCTATGTTTGCTTATGCTAAGCTGTTTTCCCTTCCTGACATTCAGAAATGAGGATGTGACCAAGCATAATGATGAAAATTATTGATGCCAGTATCTGAACTTAAAAGGAGCTTACACCTTTCACTAGGAAATCACGCCAAATCTAAACATCACTGCAAAATTAGAATTTAACTGGAGTGTATTAAACATGAAACATCAATTACAAAGTATAAGCACTTTCCTGGTTGTTACATCAGTTAATAATCTAGATTAGGAATAGTATTAATTTGCAAGTAAGAATTTTGCATTGAAATAGTATGTATCTATTTAGTTGCACTATAGTAAGAATGTATCTTGCCCCCTGGCAGTTCGAAAGCATGCAAATGCAAGTAGATAAATAGGTACCATTTCATTGGGAAGGCGTTCCAATGCCTCAACATATAGTCACGTTGGACA